AAGCATGGAATCTGGAGAGTGAGTCATATATGGGATGAAGAAAAAAAAGATTGGCTGACCAATCAGGAACTTACTGAAACAGTTTTCACCTTTAGCAGTAGCGAATGCAGATCCCAGGGCTTGATCCCTAGTTCTCACCTTACCTGTGTACAGTACCTGTGTCGACCCCGAGTGTTTGAACCCGTGACCTGTGTTTTGGCAGTTGTTGTTGTCTGTCGTAGGTCTATGTAGTGGTAGGGGTTTGATCTGTAGGTCTGTCGAGTAGAAGTCACAGCCCTGTAGAGGTTGTAGCTGTAGGGATCCTGAAAGGTCAAGGTCGTAGCTGCTACAGTCCTGAGAGGTCAAGGTCGTAGCTGCTACAGTACCGGAAGGTCCCGGAAGTGGCCTTTCAGAAAGGACTCGCGTTTAGGCAGAGGCAAGTGGGCAAGTGGTGGAGCCAACCTCAGTTCGTTGGCAGTGCGACTGCAGTGAGTCTGCGGTGCAAACCCATGCAGTCAGAGGTACCGGTCCAGTCAGTCTCAGTCCAGTCCAGCAAGTACCTTGAGGGACTGTGTGCACCATGGGCCAATGGAAAAAGGGCAGACCAGCGAGTTACAGAAGTATAAATCAGGAGGCAGCGCCCAGCCATTCATTCATTCCTGTGTGAGCCATGCAGAAGCGCTGCCATAGCGACTTGTGTGAGGTGGTCTGCAGTGAGCCTGAGGACGAAGTGGGCGAGAAGGAAGTTAGCCATAGCGGTAGAGTAGTAGCAGCCATATCCGCCATAGCTGTAGGTGTGTGCGGGTGTGTGAGAGTGTACAGAGTGTGATGTGTGTTGGATATCCAGGGTGATCCTGTGTGCGAACAGCAGTGTTGAGTAAGCGGCAACAGAGAGTTGTACAGGTGATGTGCCGCCATAGCCGTCTGAAGTGAACTTGTATCTGAGCTGCGTTCTTGGTACTATATCTCTGAGTTTTGAGTGGGCGTTTGACGCCAGTTTGCTGCGCAACCTGTTTGCATGCATGTGGAGTGTGAATGAAAGCGAGTCTGATTGCACTGGTATCGGAGCTGGTACCCGCTGTCCCATGCGCCATCGCCATTGCAGGAGGAGAGAGACGCGCGCCATAGGGCGCCATAGTTGAAGAGCGCCACCGTGAAGAAGAAGTTCGCCATAGCTCCGCTGCGGAAGGAGGTGACGCGTACCTGCACGGAAGACAACGACGAAGAAGAGAGAGAGAGAGAGAGAGAGAGAGAGAGAGAGAGAGAGAGAGAGAGAGAGAGAGAGAGAGAGAGAGAGAGAGAGA